AAAAAGTAATAATATTTACTAAGTCAAAACATAAAAAAATAAAAGCAAAAAATAAAATAAATAAATAATAAAAAGAAAAAATAAATGTGGAGATAAATAGGGCAGTGGACTCTCCCCGCCCCCAGTGACGGACCAAGGATTTTGAGTCAGTACGATGGGTGAATCATCTACCGTTGTCAGCAATAAAATATTAAGAGTTCTGCTTGATGCCCCCTTTTTTTTTGTAAAAAGTGAATTTTTGAATAGTGATTTGATAGAGAATATGTGGTTAAAAATAAGGAAAATTTTTGAATTTGAATGTTATTTTATTGAAAAATGTGCGGGTTGAAAGAAAAAAGAAAAATGTATTTTGAAAAAAAGAATGAATCAAATAAGGTCTAAAATTTAAATATAACAATTATTCTATTCAAACTCAACATATATAATTTTGTTGTAAAAATTAATAATATTCACCAAATGATATTGTGGCTGAGTCTTGTATAATTCAAAGGAAAATCACGTGTTCAAATTTTTAGAATTGCATTAAACCCGCTAAAAATGTAACATATATTATTCTAGTAAGTTTAATATCAAATTCAACGATGCCACAATGGTCAAACTCTCAATATCCTAAGGAGAGGTCACGGTTTGAAATCACTCCTCCTTATCCCATTTGATTTTGGTAAAAATTAAAGAATTAAAAATCTTTCACAATAAAAGTAGTGGGAAAAAGATTCGGAACCAAGACTTCCTAAATGAATATAGGAGTTCAAACTAGTTGAGTTACAAGAAATGTTAGAAAATATAGCAAATTACAAGGTATATAACCTAATAAGTTTATTCATTGTCAACAAAAAAAATAATTGTTCCCGAAGGATCCAGCATGCGGTCGGTTGTGGGCGCTTGCCGAGTACTGAGTTCATCACTACCCGCCCCGCCCACGCTTTAAAAGGGTATGTGGATGGGGTAAGGTAGCAAAAATACCTGATGAGAAGGGAATGCGAATGACCGACCCGTCCTATACTCGTCTTGTTGTCATCCCTAATGAAGCCTAGAGTGTCTTAATTAGCTAGAATTCTCATTAACTTTACATAGCTTGTTGAAAATGTTTAACTATTTCGAGTTTCATAACACATTTGAAAAAAAAATGGTATGTGGAAGAAAGGACAAAAATATGAGAATTAAGATTTTTTAGTAAGCAAAAAGTGGTGGATAGCTTTCACTCTCCGTCTAAAAGTTATATCTTCACGTCACTTTCTTAAAAATCATTCATTTGAAAATTTACTTATTTACTTATAAATAAATATTTTAAGCCAAACATCCTCATAGTTTTAGGAATTGGAATTTTGTAAATCAAAATCAATTTGATACGCAGTAATACAAATAATTGAAAATAAAATGGATAGTTTTTACATATTTTTTATAACTCATTAAAATTGTCTGATTTGTTGAAAGTAAAATCAAATAAATAGATATGCCTCACCTCTAGTAGCTTATTATTATTATTTTTTTTACGACGAGGTTCAAATATCAAAATTGAAAACCGAGTTCAAATATTAGTGCTATCCATTTATAAAAAGAAAAATATTTTGGAAATACGTAATAAAATCTGGAAAAAACTAAT